TTGGGCATGTTGGGCTCGGCACGTTGTGGGATTTGCTCTCCTATCCTGTCAGCATGTTCAACCCTGATTGCTCATTGGAAGGACTGATAATGAAGCTCAAGCTCAGATACTTTGGCCACCTAATGCAAAGAGAGATCTCTTTGGAAAAGACCCTGATGCTGGGAAAGACTGAGGGCAAAAGGAGAAGAGGACGGCAGTGGATGAGATGGTTGGATAGCATCGCTGAAGCAATGAGCATGAAACTGAGCAAACTCAGGGAGGCGGTGAAGGACAGGAAGGCCTCGTGCGATGTGGCTCATGGGGTCACGAAGAGTCGGACACGGCTTAACGACTGAACAACAACAACAACCTGCCAGCATGTAAGTTACTTGTCCATCGCAAGTTAGGCGCACGCAGCCAGCGTGATTTGTTGACTTGGGTTTAGAGTTCAGATGGTTGTATGAATGCAGCCAGCAGGAGACGAGCCTTTGGTGCAAGATAAGCAGATGGTACTTTGTGTGTTCCGGTTCCCCGGCTGTGTATTCAGCCACCCGAGGCAGGCCGGCTGCTGCATCGTTAAAGTCCGTGGAGCAGCGATCCAGATTTATTTGAATGGAGAGCCCCAGCACAGCCAAAAACTGGCATAAATCTAGCACGTCGGGGTGAATAATTTGTCAGCCTCTGGCACCGATGCCAGCCATCGGGCCTATCTCTAAACTGCCAGCAGGGCTGAGTGCCTGGCCATCGCCGGCCTCTGGATTTAATTGCTCAGAAGTGGGCAAATCCCCCCCCCCAGGACGTTTGACGCTTTGTTGGTTGTCTGCCGAAACAAAAGGAGGAAGTGGGTGTGTTTGTGGGTCCTTGGAAGAGAAGATGATGCTGAAATCTGACATCGGGTTACAGGCCAGCTGCCAACGGAAAGATGAGTTTTCTTTCATCTTTAGGTCTGCAGCAGAAGACCTAAAAGGCCTCTGATCTGTTATCGATGGCACAGAGGGGGTTCCTGTCTCCCTCTGAAATGGGTGGGCATCTTTGCCCAGGATCTGGGCATAGCTGATCTTTCAGGGCCCCCACACTAAGTGGGGCAAGCAAACAGTGGGCGGACCAGAGCAAAAAAGGGTGGGAGCGCCCATCGGCTCTTTAACTGGACAACACTTAACCTGGTTACGGAATGAACTCATTTTAATAAGAAGAAGAATAGTAATAATTTATTAAATGTATATGCCGCCCGACTCCCAGCGACTCTGGGTGGTTTAAAATGGTTAAAAGCTTTAAAAAACAGAGAACGTTATAGAAAACACGAAAGCAGCAGAGGTGAAGGGACAACGATGGCAGAGGGGACAAAAAGGAAGACGGGCGTCAGTCATCCTCTCCAAAGGCCTGGGCAAAGAGCCAGGTCTTTTGGCTTAAGGCCCTTTGAAATCTGGGGGGGGGGGGG